CCTGAGGGTGATATGAAGCCATTGAAAGGGTTTTATCCAAGAACCACTAAAATCTAATTTCCACTTAGGAAATATCCTTCTGGCTGCAGTGTGGAGACCTACTCAAAGCAGAGCAAGACTGGAGTCAGTAAGTCTAGCTTGGAGGCAATTAGGAGGATAGGCAGATTTTTGGACTGGGATAATGGCAGCAGGGTTGGCAAAAGTAGGTAAGTCAGAAGAAACTAAAGCACAACAGAACCCAGTGATACATTGTATGTGCAATGAAGAGACCTCTCAGGAATAGAGCCGAGTTTTCTGTCTTAGGCAATTGGCGATTAAGCCATTGCACAAAAGAAGGGCAGGTTTGATGAGAAGAAAGTGTGTTCCATTGGAGACGTATGAAGTTCGAAGTGCCTGTGTGCAGTCAAATTCAGAACTGGACAGTCTGAAGTACAGGCAAGAGACCTAAGTCACAGGGAGAGCTTGTGACTGATACCCATACAGATAATAGAAACCACTAACCTTCCCAGAGAGTGTGTTTGCATAAGAACAAAAGGTTTCTGGCAGAACACCAGGGTATTTTACCTTCCCCTTTAGGTAGGATTCTTCAGATAGTAATTTTTCTAATGATTACATTCTGTGAACAGCATCTTTAACAGCCTGGATAATATTCTCTCATAGGGATGTACATGCTTAGCTAGCCAAATAGAGTCCTGTTCATTTGCACTGTTTTACTATTTAAAAGGACCTGCAATGAATTTTTGCACTCCCCCAAATTAGTTCTATGGGATGTTAGTAAGCTGTATGTGGGAAAAGTAGTCCGTGGTCAGTAAGTATATTTGACTTAATAAATTTTAATAAATACAACTTGGTTTAAAAAACTGTTCACTAGGGTCCTTTTTTGCAGTGATTTGTCAGAGCCTTAAATATGCTGCTCTTCTCTGTGACTCTTCAACATGGTGCTGCTGTGGTCGGTTTATTCCCTTACTAAGACCTGGGCCCTGGTGTGCTTTCTGGGGGGAGTACTTTCAGGACTAGGGACTGAGCATAGAACAGTTTCATGGGATACTAACCTGTGTGCAGAAGCTGTCCCGAATTCCAACACATAGTTCCAGAAATTGGATTATCAAAGGACAGGAACGGATGTGTATGTCCTGGGTCCACCTTACCAAATACCCTTCCCAAAGGTGACTGCATTACCATGGGAGTATAACATGTTACAAAGACCTGTTTCACCATAGCCCAGCACCAGCTGTGATGTCGAATGGTTTAAATGTGATCTAGCCTGGTAGTGTTTCTGTGACTACGAAGAGGAGGCTCAACACTTTTTGGTGTCACAAGTTGCTTGCTGCTCTTTTGTGAATACCTTCCCAGGTCTTCCGCCTGCCTGTTAGGCCCTTAGCGACTCATGAAAATAATGGTCTATTTTTATAGCCTGGTGTTAGTGCAGAATTTCATATACTTGTGACAGTTATTCCCCCAGCTTGTTGTTTATCATTAACTCATAGTTTTTTCAAACATGTGGAACTTCTACATTTTTATGAATCCGTCCTTTAAAGCATTTCTTTTTGTAGTTTTCTCACTGTTTTTAATTTTGGGAAGTTATGTGAAGCTTTATCTAGGCACTTAATAATTACTTTCTGGTTTTTTGTTATTAATTCTTAACACCCCCACAAAAAAATAACTTTTACAGCACTGTTTTCTGAATAATTTTCCCTTTCCAAATTAATAATGTTATGTGCATACAGTCGTTAATAGTTTTTATGGGGAAAAAAATTATCTCTGTGTCCTAAATTTAGCAAGCAGAGATGAACAGTTATTTACTAGTGGTCATTACCTTTGGCCAGGTTTAGTCTTGAGCGTACGTTTTGATATTGATGTGATGAAAACCTTGACATTTATAAACTGACTTATGCTTAATCTGGTATTGTGATAAGCATTTCCTTCCCTGGAGCCCTTGGGAGAAATCACTAGACAGTAAAGGCTAGCATGTTTAAAGAAATTTGAAAGCTAAAATGAAGAAAGAACAATTCTTAATCATCAGTGTCAATAAAAACAGCCACTTTACAAGATGATAAGGTTTAATTCTTACAATTCATTTTACAGCTGAGGAAGTTTCACAACTTAACTTAGCTTAAGTCTGCACGCTATCAAGGGCCGAAGCAGGACTCCTTCCAGAGCTGTTAATCACCCGTCCTGCTCCTGCTGGGTCCGCGGATATAGTCTTAGGATTCCCCGAAGGGCGTTCCTTTTTGGACAGCCTCTGTACTTTATCCAAGAATAAGAGTCATAGTTAACCACTCTGACATTTATAGGATGAAAGCAGGGGTAGGTAGCCTTCAGAACCGCGGCGCTGAAGTTTTGTAGGCAGGTAGCACATTGAAATTCTCTCTCCTACAAGACTGAACTTGGGGCCCCTCTCTGGTGCGGGGACTTAGGTGCTCAGGGAACGCTTCATTGTAGTCAGAAGGTAAGCAGGCGCCTCTTAGCTAGCTAGTCAAGCCCCTGGGCTTGGCTAAATGCACGCGAGCTTTTTCTTTTCTCAAATCTTTCTCTACAAGTTCACACAGAAACTTGAGAACAGTTTCTCATCCCTCTGCCACCACTTGCCTTCACAGGCAGCGTAGGTTCATTTTTGAAGCGCGCGTGGTCCGATGCTGAGCCAGCCTGGCTCTGCAGAGACAAGCGGTTGTTTGTTACCCAGGCAGGGCCTGTGCCCTCCAGTTTCCTGCCTTTGCTGCTCCCTCGACAGATCCTTTCCCAAGGCCCCCGGGAGCCACTTTTGTGGCAGAATCCATTTGGTTTCACAGGGCCTCTAGGAGGGGCGGTGGGGGCCGCTTGGCAGGGCCCACTGATCTCCCACGTTAACAGTGATTTGCAGACTGCTCTCGGAGGGAGCCGGAGCCCAGCCCCGCACAGGCTGCTCCTGGTGCCCCCATTGTCTGTGGGGGTCGGGCGCCTTTCCCCGGCTGACCTGCCTGCGAGGGGAGAGATGTGAAAAGTTAGAGACAAAAATGGTTTCTACAGACAGAGGGGGAGCTTTCTCATACAGAAAGGAAGGAAATACCTCTGAGGGATTTTATTTTTTTCCCCCCTCTTCATCCAAAAAATACAAAGGGACTCTCTGTCTTTAATGCGAATGTCGGCTTTAAATCTTTTAGGTTTGGATTAACTCTGCAAAAAAAAAAAAAAATCTGACAGGCTTTCAGATATGACGCAGAAAAACTTTCTTCCCCTCAATTCATGTTGTTCATTTGTAAAGCCAAAGGCTGGTGGACTGAATAGTGGGCGCCAGTTGTTCCCCATTCATAGTTAACATCACAATGGGTCAGAATTGGCAGCCTAGAGTTTCCGCGACCACTTTTGCCTTTTCCTCCGACATTTAATGGAAGGTGGCAAAGGCAGAAATAAATCTTTCTTCTCTTGTCCCCAAAGTTAAAATAGATTAAAATTAAGCCAAGTAAACAAGGCATTTTCAGTCACATGACTTAGAATCTTATCTTACCTTTTTCCCCCAAAAGGAAAAATAAATGTGGAGGGATTCTTAATCGTTACCTTACCAAAAAGCTTCCTTCAACCTAAACAAAACCCACCGACCTTATAGACATTTCCTATTACATAGTTATTGTTGGTTTTCACTTTTGAGGATGTCAGCAAACACGTTGAAGATCATGTTTTGCTTATAAAATAAAGTGACTTTTATTTGAATATTTTTCATCCTATTGGTGTCTAGAATATAGGTGCTATTTCATTGAACCCACATGGCAACATGTATTTTCTGAAATTTTTATAATAGCACGTTTTTATTTTAAATGTGTTAGGGAACAACCTTAGCTTAGCATCCTTGCACTGACAGTCTATAGAAATAAGCCTGTGCTAATGTACAAAAAAATTTAAGCAGCAATTCCTGGTCTTCAGTCGCAAGTCAGAATGAATAGGTGATCTGAGACATAATTTAAAACCAGTGATCTTTGTATTTCAGAAGGATTGATTGAGTAGAACTGTTTGTGTGTAATTGTGAACTGCCTATAAGAATTAAACTCTAGATCATTTTTAATTCATGAACCATATCTAGTTTTTTGGATTTTTTTTTAAAGTCCTGGGTGATTTTTAGGACAGTGTAAACATGCATTAGTTGGCTACTTTTTAGTGGAGATATGATACATTTATGTTTTTAATTGTACCACAAATTTACTCTTCATAAAGAGATGTGAAGTGAAAAAATATTTCTTTTACTTTTATTGTATGACATTTACTTTTTAAGCTTTGTATAATCTAATTATATTACAAAGGGATTTTTTTTAATTATTACAAATAACTAATGGAATTTCAAAGGGATGATTAAATTTATTTTTAACATACTTTTATTTGGGTTTTACATTCTAGGTACTTGGTTTGAATTTAGCAATAACAGGATGCATGAATACAAGTTATATGAATCTTTGAAAAAAATTATTTTTCTACCTAGTATCAGCCAAAAATAATCAAATTGTTATTTTCATAGATACTTTAATTTGATTACACCTATCATGATTTATCTGGATGATTTTTTTTAATATTGCACAATATTTTATAAAAGTAAAGTTCGTTTTTATTTGCCAGAAAAGTAAATTTAGTTTCTATTACAATTTGTTCTCCATGTTGTATTTTAAGAGAATTTAATCCACAGTATATTTGGAGTTTGCTCAAAACGATTTTGATATTCTAAGTTATAAACAGTCACAGTTTAATACTCCATGTATTGATGACAATAATAAAAATCTCAGAAAAATACAGAAAGATTTGGCACATGATAAAACTGCCATCTTAGCTCTTTGAGGGGGAAAAATAGATATAAATACATATTTTAACATACTTGGTTTATAATTCCAATATTTCACAAGTTTGAAATTAGAATTATTGTACACCCTCTTGCAGAATGAGATTCTTAAAATTATTTTACTTAACATCATATAAAAACTAAATGTGAATGATGTATTTCTTGGTTTTTGAAATAATATTGTTTCTGATGGCTTACCCAGGCAGCAATGTTGTTTAGTTCCGGCATCTTTTGGACGGGCCTGTTATTTATCCCTGTGGCATCTTTGCTTCTTGATGTGCTGTACAAGGTGTAAGTATGATTCTCAGTTACGTGTGTTAAAATACAGATGCATGTGTGTTTTAGTCCTCAGATTTCTCCAGTTGTACCATGAACTCAAGAATGTAGAGTTTGCAGAAAAGGAATTAGTGATATTAATTAATTCTACCTAAATAAGTAAAGAAGAAAGGAGTGATTTGGAACTAGAAAACTAAAGCGTTTAAGACTGAATGAGAAGCAAAGCAGGTAGTCTCAATTAACATTAGAGTTTATCTTTAGAAATCAGTCTGAAAAAACCCATTCAAGGTAGAAGAAAAACATGCTATTATCTCCAAACATATCTATATATATATATATATTTTATTAATGAGCAGTAGTTGTGAAAAGTGTTTTGCCTGCCTGATGATAAGCATCTATAAAATACAGAATGTAAGAAACTAAAACTTTACTAATTTTCCTCAAGGATTATAAGTTTGAAAATGTTATCTCTTATATCTTTAAAGTTAATTATATGATGCTTATTTAATAACTTTGAGAGTTTTAATATTAAAAGCCTAAACCATTTCTTTTAAGACTATTATTTCTGTAATCATACTAATGCTCAAAATTACTGTAACTTCTTAGATTCGATTGAAAAACTGTTGCTTGTTCTCTGATTACTGTTGTATTTAGCAGCATGATAATAAACCAGTTTTGTAAAGTCTTAAGTTTTCACATGGGTATTTCCATGTCTCTCCTTTTTTTTATAGTATCAAAAGGACTGCTTTTAAAACATTAGTAGATGAGGTTCAGGAGCTAGAGGCAAAATCTCAAGATCCAGGAGCAGTTGTGCTTGGAAAAAGGTAAAATATACACTGATATGTTCTTTTCCAAATGAACTTTAAATGTGTCTTTTACTAGTGGTTGCAAATAAGTGGTAATATTTATATTTATTAGTTAACAGGGAGCTAAGCAGTGTTGTTGACAGATTTTTGGGATCATGCAGATATGAATTCACATTAAATCTGTCATTCATTAAGCTGTGTGTGACCTTAGCCAAGTTGCTTAATGCTACTGAGACTCAGTTTTTTCATCTGTAAGATGGGGGTGATAATACCTACCTCATAGCTAGCTGTAAGAATTGAATAAAATACTATTGATAAAACAGATAGCTTGATACCTGGTGCTTAATGAGCATTAAATGGTAATTATAAATATTATTGTGTTATTACATGACACAGGAAAAAAAAAGACTTTTAGCTTGAACAGTAATGAGCATTAAGTAGTAATTATAAATATTATTGTGTTATTACATGACACAGTAAAAAAAAAAAAAAGACTTTTAGCTTGAACATTATCCATAATAAAATAGTATGTAATGAAAATCAGAGGTTGACACAGGGCCTGCTGCCCTACAATTGCATTTATAGTTGAGTGTGTCAGGAACTGACCTAGGCATTTATCATATATGAAGTGAGTTGTATCTTCCAAGTCCTTTCCTCATACCCCACCCCTACAATAAGCAAGGTTATAAAGCTAATCAAATCTACTAAATTCACAAAACATTATAAATAAGAAGTTAAAATTATTTAAAAGCAGTCTATAATGAAATATAATTATGAAGGTAATACCAGAAATTTGTTTCTTCTCTCTTTCATCACACTGAAATGAGTTAAAATTTGTCTGAGTCATCAGAAATAGTTTATGTTGCCGTGGTATGATTCAGTGTTACTCAGTTTGACAGAAAGGAGTGAGGGTCAGACTGGGACTCAAGCTGAGACCTTGGTGTCCAGCCCTCACTCGCTCTCTTTGGGCTGAAGGCACGTGTCAGGCCTCCATTGGCATTAGTTGGGCACTCAGTCCGTGCTGCTTACCATGCCCCACTCTCCACTTCATATGAGTATCACATTGAGTTCCTATAACAAACCTCTTTAAATCAATCATCCCCATTTTTTCCGGATGGGGAAACTGCAGCCCAGGGAGACTAAGTTCTCAGGTCAGTACAGACTGAGCTGGGCCTTGAGCTTATGTCAGTTGAGTTTAGAGCCCTGCTCCTATCCATTCACTATTCTGCCTTTTGCTGCTTTTTGAGAATGTGCTAGAGCAGCAAAAATAGCCTACACTACCTGCACACAGTTCATGACCGTCCTGAGTCAGTGTCCCTGCATGTGTGGGGTGATCGATCCTGCCATGAGGGGGCTTTCCTCCTCCCTCCACCTCCCCTTCGTCTAAACATCTCCACCTATTCCGTTGCCTGGCACAGAGAGGCCCTCAGTAAATATGTTCTCTTTCTTTAGCCGTAAGAAAGGGTGTGGTAGGAGTTCTGGCTCACTAAATTGTGAGCAAACCCATTTATTAACAACTATTAAGGAAACGCCATTGATAACACTGGTACCACCTTTAGGAGAAAATTTTTTGTATTTGTAAGTATGTAAATAAAACTTATGCCCCTCCTCATGATATTTTGTTTTCATGGTTTATAGTGTATCACTGACTTCGACAATTAACACATCAGGGTGAGGGTGTGGGTTCAGTGTGATGGCTTCTATATCCAGAAGATCCAGTGAGTCTGGAATATAAGTAGCCCTTTCCATTAAATAAGTCAAAACGCCTTCGAGGGAGTGAAGTGAACTCCACTGTAAGTGACCACCAACCTGTCCAGTGCGTCAGGTAAATTTCCTGCTGCTGCTGGACTCATTTGCCTATAATAGCTCTTCAGCTTTTCTCAAGAACTCAGAAATGAGTTAGCTGTTAACTGAATACCACAGGAAAAAACCCTGATCCAACACACACCCCATGTTCCTGTGTCACGACAGCAATCAGAAGGGTGGTGGTGGGTCCGCGTAACCAGTGTCTTCCTGCTAGATGAGAGCTGGAGGACTGGGAAGAACAAGGCTCTGTGAGACCGGAGAAAGCAGAAGGTTGGAAAAGTCCTCACGATAAACTACTTGCATTCAAACACAGTTAAGGAATTATCAGATTGATTTTACTGCCAGGATTATTTTAGGAATCTTGGGAAATGAGGTGTCAAATTTCAAAAAAGTTAGGTAACTTTATATCTACATTTTCAGAGGAGAAATTGTGATTTCTTTGTGTTCTACCAATATCAGACCTCCTTTCATTCCAAAGCACTGTTATTTTATGCATCCCAGTCTTCACACATGCCGTCCTGGTCTAAAAGCTGATATCCTCTTGGAGACTAGGCAATACAATTCCTAGTTTTCCAAACCAGTTCAGATGCAATTGCCTGAACTCTTCACAGATAAAATTAATTCCCACTCTGCTGTCTCTGTACTTTGTACTTCTGTTGTTACATGTATTGCTTTGTCTTGTAATGTGTTTGTTTACTCTGTGTTTGTTTCCCTACTGGACTGAGCTCCTTGAAGGAGAGACCTTTGTTTTAGTCTTAACTGCAACCCAACACCTAGCACAGCACCTGGGACATGGTAGCACTTGATAAATATGTGCTGAACACATAACTGAGTGGTCAAGAGAAGGAACTAAGGGATAAAGGGAATGAATGAGTGAGAGGGTGAGTGAAATTATAGGTTGAGTAGTAGGTAATAAATAGATGGTTAACCTGTGGGTATTTAAAAAATGATGCATAAGAACATAGAATTATATAGGTTAACACTTCCCAAACTACCAACATCCCAAGTCACCATAATGTGCTTTGTTGTTATAGAATGAAGCAATCTTGTGAGTTGATCATCCCCAATTTTTTTTAATCTTCACTAACCACTACTGTGAAGTTAAGCTATAATATACATAAATAAAACTATCTGAGAAACTAGAACTTGTATCCATATGAGCATTTGCAATAATTTATTTCTCATCTTTTCGCATTTTCAAAAATTTAAACATCTTGGTTAAAATAGTCTTTTTCAGCACAAATAATATGTCACCATATTATTCAGTGAATTAAGTAAATCTCAACTTTATATTGAAAGTTGAGGGGAAAGGAGTGTTCATCCTCTAAGTATATTGTTTTTGAGCTATGGTTAGGGTATGGGAGAAATCATAACCTAAGTCTAAAATGTTGGGAGAATAAACCCAAACCTCAGTCCTGATTGCTGTGTAGCCATGGCTTATTATTTTTGGTTAAGAAAATAACTTCTACACTGTAAAACTCTGTTTTTTTGCTGTAACTTTTATAAGGACAGGTTCTAACACCAGGGAACATAAGCATCTACAATTCTAAAATCAAAAAACTTCAATATCTTTCCCTAGGTTTATAGCAAACATTTGCTGGAAAAACCTAAACCTTTTCTTCTATAAATAAAAGGGAGTAATAGTGCTTATTTTTTCCACAGTGTAAATATTTATACATTTGATAGCAAAAATGGCCTCTCAGATCCCACTTGGGGGGTATTTTATCTCTAAGTTGTGTGTAACATCTTACCTTTTCTAAAACAAAATAAAGCAGTAACAAAAACAAATGTGAATTCAAAAACCCAAAGGTTTAAAATAAGGGATTATAAACTCTAGGCTCTTTGGAGATAGACACTTACTTTAGTATATCTTCCATGTGTGTCAAAAGCAATACATCTTCTAGACAGGCAAACATGATAATGAGATTCACAGTTTTTTATATCTAACTGTAGACATTAGCCAGCATACCATCAGCAGCCATTTCTTAGTAGAATTTTAGCCTGTGATCTTCAAGTCAGTCCCCATTAATTTGGCCTGCCACTGTTTGGGCCACAGCCCTAGCTTTAAAGAAGAGAGTAGGGAAATATGGAGGTCAGATAATCAGTTCATGTGGATGGTAATGGTGGTCTCTCCCAGCCTTTCTCTGTACTGTTCATCTTCATGAAAAGCAATTGCCCCGGAACTAACAGAGAAGAAACTATATTTTTCAATTTCCACACTGGATTCTATATCAGTATTACATAAATATCTTGGTAGGAATTTAGAATAGAAGGATGTATCAAATGTTTTCCCCCACCTTCTCTTCATCACTCTGATAATGGTTCTGTCCAACATTTGTGAAGAAAAGTGACAGAATGATGGAATGTTATCTCCTCGAGGGCAGAGATCAGTCCTGTTATAATCAATGTTTGTCTCCCCAACACTACCACCTAGTACAGGACAGCTGTCATAAGCTGTGCACTGAAACTTTCCATGCATAGATGCTTCTTTACTTTCTGGAGGTAATTTTAATGAGTTAGCCAAAATAGCTTGGCAACCCAGTATAAAGACGGATGCAAATTTATCACTCTTCAAAAATAAGTGAAAATACCTTAAGACAACATTTCTAGAATAGTAAGTGAGTTTTTACCTATACTTTTTCTGTGTTTCTAAATGAAGTATTATTTTAAAACATGATGTATTTTCACCACCACCAAATATCTAAGTTTCAACATTTCAGTGGGCTTGGTAATAAGGTAACGATATTTAAGTGGCAGTGATATAATTGCATTAAGCAACCTACAAACTGAGTAAAATTACTAACAGTTGTGAATAAAATGTGGTTTTTAGTGAGAAGTTATCTTAAAGCTTTTTTACTTCACATTGAACAAAAACAACTTTAACGTGTCTCCTAATGTTAACATGCTACGTGCATATTTTATAATGTGACTTGGTGGTAATATCAGTCCCCATAAACATCAGTGGCACAGAACTGCCTAGTTTGGAAATAATGAGTAGTTCCCTAAAGGTAAGTTAAGATTAGAGAACTATAAATCCTCATCACTTATTATTTATTAAGCACTCTTATATGATGTGAATGGCATTTATATTCTGTAGAAGGGACTCTGCTCTACAAGAACTAAAGCAGGAGGTTCAGCGTAGGTAACGCAGAAAAAAAAGAAAGAAATTTAACAAAAACCTAGTCCTTGTCCTACTAAGGAGGAAGAATGGGGGCATTAGAAATTAAAACTTAGGTGCAGCAATAGGCCATCTCGTGTTGAGCTAATGTTGATTATAAACCAAGGCATCAGAAACGATCCTCACAAAGTATCTTTTGTTTTGCAAAGATCCCTGTTCTAGTTGATGTTTTTATAATAAGTTCCTTGGCATCTGGGGGATGGGAAGGGTGGGAAGGACTAGCTAGCATTTGTTGAGTGTTCCCTAAATGCCAGTCACTGTACTGGAAGCTGTACACTCCCCGAATCCTCACAGTCAGCCTGACGGTTAGGGGTTGTCCTCCTGTTGTCTGTGAGATGACCAAGAAAAGTTTGCCTAAGGTGACCCGGCTAATAGGTAACAGACTCAGAACTAAAGCAAAGTAAGACTCCAAAGCCCATGCTCTTTCCACAGGAATGTGTACCTTTCCCGAGAAAGAGTCTTTATTATTGCCTTTTTTTTTCTTTTTTGAATACTAGACATTAACTTCATATAACAGTTGAGTGAAAGTATTTCCTTATATGAAAACAAAATGACATTATCTTAAACGCTTAAGTTGCCCTACATGAAAGATAAAATTCTCACATCTACTATCTTAACACTTTAATGGTATGATATTGAAGTATTATGCATTTAGGAAGGCCATCCTGAAAACTGGAAAATGTATTTTGGGAAGAAGCTACATCCTAATACATTGCCATCCTCGGTCGTCTGTAGTCATTTCAGTTGTGAACACCAGAGACTTCCCTGCACCCCGTCCACCCTGCTCTGCTGACACAGTCAGACCACCTGCTGCTAGAGCTGCCGACTTCCTCAAAGCAGTTACATATATTTTACTGTTCCTCAGGGTCCCAGGGTTTGTAATGTTAGATCATTTTAAGAGTAGAGTAAGAAAAGTGAATGTAAAAGTGACCTCTTCTCATTCTCCACATCTGTTTATTTCACTGGCAAAAACAAGTTTTATAACTATTTACAAAACCACTGGAGTTTTAGATTAATTAGCTTTCTTGCCTTAATGTAGCTAATTCACAGTGACAATAAAGTATGTCTAATAAGTACCAGTTAACATCCCTCAGATTTAAAAATATGTGTGGAAGATAACTACAAATGTCAGCATTTCTAAATATTTTATTTCAGCAAAAGCCTAAATGTCTGTGTAATTACAATAAGTTCATTTTGCAGATGATCCTCTTTATTTTATTTTATGTTTTTTTTTTGGTATCTGATGAAAATTGTTCCATTTCAGGGTCTTAAAAATTTTGGCAAAATATAGAACTGACATAACTTAGAGAGATTTAACTAAGGCTTTTATAGTGGAGAAAATACAAGATGGAAAATTTTCAACTGAGTCAGTTCCAGTGATTAAAACAAAATTGCCTAAACATTTGCTGTAACACATGTGGATTACTTATTAGTTCTTCCTGCTTATTATGTTCTTTGATATCAAAGCAAAGTTTTATAAATCAGCCAAGGGAGAAATGGCATGATTGGAAGGACTGATGATGTTTAAAGTACATTTCGGAATTGTTATACAAATTAATTTAATTGATAAGTATGTGAGTTCCTACTGTGTGAGACACTGTTCTACATGCAGTGGAAAAAAAACAGATGCATTTTATCTTGCAGTGTGCTTTAGAAGTTAGTTGAGAAGACTATTCTAAATGTTTATTGAAAAAATATTTTCCTTGTAATTTTACCTAATATAATTATTTTTTTAAGACTTATGTTATAATGAAATTAAGGAATATATATTTTGTACTGTGTTGGTGTGGTAGTGGAGTTTTTCTGATGAAAACATCTATGAAATCTCTTCTTTGTGTAATTTTTAGAATTTATTTACATAAGTAAAAATATATTATTTTACACTGAAATATGTGCAAAGTAGGAAAAAGATGCAGTAATATTTTTATTTTTAAAAAATGCCATACTTACAGTGTACATAATAAGTCAGCAAAGATTTTAGAAGCTAATAACGCAACTGGCAAGTTCTGTATTTTTGTATTAATTATATTGTGTAGGTTCAGCATCTTCATTTGACTTCAGTATAACTGAAGGGTAGGGAAATCTTTTGACTGAATTCCTGGGGGCAAAACTCTTCTTAGCTATGGGGGAAAAAATGGCTTCAGAAGTAGCTATCTAAAACACTTGAAATTTCATTTGCTCTCTGAGAAATGGGGTGGAAAGAGTTGCTAGACTACAGACTCCTCAAGCAATCTTTTGTTTACATCTCACTCTCTCTGGTGGTCCTGTGGGCACACTGGGGTTTCTGCTGAGTTGAAACTTCATTTCACACGTTTGCACCTGCTCTGCAGCCTCACGGAGAGGGCACAACTGCTCAAGAACGTCTTTAAGAAGAACCACGTGAGCTTGTACCGGTCTGAATCCTTGCAGCAAAACCTGCTCCGTAAGTATCTGAGGTCTGATTTTGAAACACAAATTATCTGCCATTACTTCATAGCATTTATGAGAGCATCATTTTGACATTGGGATCTTTAACTCTTTAAAATTAGGATACCTAAAATGGGTTTGCATATCTGCAATATGTTATGTCAATAACAAATGTTTAGAGAAGGCTTTGACCACAACCATCTCACGTTCAGCAAAAGAGAGCATTTTAAAATCGCACTGCCTTCACTTAAAGAAAAATAATACCTCCACATGCCCCTTCCTTCCTTAAATCTTAAAGAGAACCAATAAAATAAATCTTAACTCCTAAAAGCTCCCTCTGTATTGTTATCTTTTCTACTTGAATAAGCTTGCCAGAGCCTTTGTAGCTGTCATACGGCACAATGAAACATATATTTTCCCCTCCAAAAATATTTATGAATATTTAGGGTTGTAAGAAATCATTAGGTATCACACCCTCTTAACATTTCAAGGATCTAAAAAAGAATATGATATATAAAGCCCTGTAGTAAATGTATTTGTGTTGGTAATATATCTTTTGTTTCATGTTGTTTCCACATATAATTTATTTTCGTTTCTGTATGCTCATGTTTAATGCTTTTGCTCTTTATACTTCAAGAGGCCTTTTCTAAAGATGTGACCCCCTTGGGGGTCATTTCTTATCCCCTTGCCCTGGCCCGCTGTACTGGGGCATGAGTGAGTTTATTTGCAGATGCTGAGAGCCAGGGAGGATGTGGTGTGAGGGAAGAAAACCACTTTCCCACCGTTTGCAGTTACATGTCCTTATCTCCTCCTCCTCTTCCTCACTTGTATTCTTCCTCCATCTCATCCACCTGCCCTATATGGCAAAACATGTGCCCACTTGATTAGACCCCCCACCCCAGCCTCTCCAGTGGTCAGGAAGCAAAGATTAGATGGGTTGGATTTGAGATGCTGAGCAGAGCGGCGCCTGCTAATCCATTTGGGAGCAGAATTCATAGAATCTCAGCTGGCAACCTACAGTCTTCCCACTCTTCACTTTACAGTTGAGTCTGCATCTTTTCCAGATATGAAAAATTCATGTCTTCATGCTGTTGAAGGTGGGAGGGGTGTATCTGTTCCCCAAGTTAGAAAATGAGTGCTCAAAACTCAGAATGACAGAGACTTCCTGTGACTGCATGATGACCATTTCTGTTTTACCTTTAACTTCCAGATGGGTATGCTTTCTCACAAGATGAGAATGGGATCGTCTCACAGTCTGAAGTGATCAGAGCGTATGACACCACGAAGCAGAGACCCGATGAGTGGTGATGCGGTGGGTTGCGTCTCCACAGAGAGCTCCCAGGTCTTCACCAGAATCTGCTGGCCAGGTCCAGGCTGGCCCAAGGAGGAGAGAGGTGGATCTGAGCTCACATCGTCGATTGACATTCAGATTCATGTATGTTATAGACATAAGCACTGTGCAACTATACTGTAACACCATGTCTTTCAGACTTTTTAAAGTATTTGCTAAGTCTTTGCAAACGTAAATGGGAAATGACCATGTATCTTGCCAGAGTGCTTTCTTAAACTGAGAACAGGTCAGTATTCTTATGCCTTTACTTTGGGGCTAAAACTGTCCATTTGTTGGATATACCAGAAGGCAACCAGCCGTTAAAAGCTCTAAAATGGTAATAAAGGAACTCTTAATAGCAGACTCAGATTTCAGAATACGCTGAAAAAAACCAGCACTCTTCTCTAAAACTGACTCACCTTACTGAGCAAACTTCCTAAACAAGACATTAATAGGTATTTGTGTCAAAAATTGTCTCGATAAATGTTTGCCAAAGAAGTTCAGTGAACATAATTCTGAGAATATTCTGTAGCCATTTGCCCAGAAATGTAAGAGAGAGTTCACCTCCAGTTCTGCTGTTCAAGATCTGCATGCCCAACTTTTCAAATGTAAGAGTGATGTGCAAAAAAGTATTTCAAGGCATTTGCTACTAAAATCTGTGATGTTGCACCTTTGGCCTTACAAATGCTTCCTTCTTGTTTGTCTTGTTTATTTGTTAGAGGGCACACTTGGCAATGTGGCTCTGTCATTATGCTGATTTTTAAGGCTGTATTTATGTCTCAGTCATGAGACATTATGATGAAGTTTCATCATTTAGGTTTTTTCTAAAAATCTGGCTTCTGTAGATTGAGTGATGTCATTTTGTCTTAAAGTTCTCTCTCTTAAGAAAAATATGCTTATGTATTTATGTGAGATCTCCAATGCTTCTGTCGAGACGTTTAGACAACCGTGTCGGATAAATGCATGGGCTTTTGTACTATACGTAGGCTTGGCTTCTGTCCTGTGTTTTGTTCTCCCTGTTAGTTCCCACTAGAGATGCCTGCTGCTTACACGGCACACCCCGTGTTATGGTGACTGCCCCTCTACTTAAGACTGAGAATTACTTCACAGCTCACTTGTCAAGCAGCTCCCAAAATTGGTCACAGACTGCTAATTGGGACAAATAAGTAGTATATTTTCCCCCCTTAGAAATACCTACTTTACTCAAGCCTATAACTTCACAGATAACACTTTTTCATCGTGAGTACATTTTGTTAATCACAGTCAGATAACACTTTTCATCGTGAGTACATTTTGTTAATATGTTTTAAGATGTATGCTCAGTTCAATTATTTTCAGCATTTCCAAGACATTTCCTGAAAATGCCTATTTTTGCTACCAAAAATAAATGGTGAAGGGTCTGTTTAAAATCCACAACCAGTTTTCTACACTGTTTTTAATATAATGCTTTCATTTAAAAAAAAACTAAAAAGTAATTCTACTTTTGATCTACGTCAGAGTTCGGAGCAAAGTTTTTTGCCTTTTATTCAAAGCCTGTTTGCCTTTAAGTGGACTTACCAGCAAAGTAGATAGAGCTTCCTCTCTTAAAACGAAGTCAGCTAGAATTGGAAAGAGAGATGATTTTCCAAGTCACTTCTTGAATTTAATAATTTCACATTCTTCTCACCCTTTTTCTCATTTAGATTTAAAATTAGGTTATGTATCATTTCCTACTCTGCATTTTTAGGTATTTAGTTACAAGTATGCCTCCCACATTTTCTACAAATAAGAGAGGTTATAACACATACATAATTCTAAAGGGGGCAAGGAGTTGACAGACCCTTCCCATTTGGGGTTCAGTATAAACATCCAGGAAGACCACAGGTGAGAATCTAAGATAATCTTCAACATTCTGAAGTCACAGACTTGAACTGTCTAGCAAATGGATATTCAGAGCAGCTTTTCCTGGCCTCCCAGTACTGATTGTTGAGGTCAAACCACAAAAGTCATAAAGCAAGAATGAAGGACATCCCTATAGAGGAGCGCTGTGCAGCATTTATATAGAGAAGAGCTGCTTTCCCTTTTGCCTTTATTAGATTAATGGCATGCTTCTCCAAAATTTTAATATCAAATTGTGATGGATAATATAATCGAGCTGAATTTTCTGACTTAATGAAAACAAAGTTGTATTTTTATCTTGAAACATAGATTGTTTCTGTGTTGCTCTTCAATATAGTAGAATGCTTGTGGTTAGTAAGTTAATGTATGAGATCATGAACTGAACTATGACTATGCCTTTTAGTCCTATGGTCCTTTTTTAAATTATCAATATGAAGTCAATTTCTTTGATTCTTGGGTGGGAGTGCAGGTTGGGCAGCAGAGAGTGACTTCTTGGTAAAACTTAAAATATAACATTGCAATTGCATGATGTAATAGTGTTAAAGAAAACCCTCTGATTTTTTAACCTTCCTAAGGACAGAAAAAGTTACACAATTTTACCAGGATTACAGTAAACAGTTGAAGTGGTTTTTATTGAGTATTTTCTGAAATAAAGGACAGGTACTCTTCGACTTAAAAATCCCTCATAGGGGCTCTGGCAAATGCTAATACTGTTGCTTTACAATGTTTACAATTCAGAAAATACTACTTAACACAGCAGAAAAATCCTCATTTGTTTAGCATTGAAAAGCTGAGAGTTGCTTCTTTAATGTTGAATAGTAGACAGTGATATTGAGCATGGGCTTTCTAAGTGTATTATATATACATGTAAAAATATATTGGTGTCTCACACTCAGAAAGATACTATATGGTAACAATTATTAGCAGGAGATGGTGTTTCTCAGGAATGTAGTAAATCTTAAATCATATATGTGCTGCCCACCCTCCCACTCCTGACCCTGTATCTCATGTGAGCCTGCTTCAGCAATGTTGCAAAGTTAATAGAAAACTTTTTCTAATCAAGCCAGGTCATCATGTATGTTACTCAGTCATATTAGCCACTTCATGAATTGTGTGGTCATTGAATGGAATCAGTGATTCCTTTTAATTTCCAGGGGAGAAAATAAATTCAAGAAATCAACATTTATTCTGGTCATTAAAATTTATATTTTAACTTTGCAATTCAGCATTCTAAATATCAAATATGAAAGTCACATAATTTGTTCTGCATTGTGTGTACTGTACATCTCTTATAACCTGTCATTTAAAATGTTCTTTCAGGAAATGAATGCTAGTCTGAAAGCAATAGATTGTATATTTGTAGTTTTTAAATTATTTATAAGAGGTTGTAAGTATTACCAGGCTAAATAATAATCAGTGTTTATTTTCATGCAGTTTCTCTTTAACAGTTCCTAATTTTAAAACTCATTTCACCAAATAAATCTATAATCTTATAAATAATTGTCTACAAAATTTATCAAGAAAATGCCCACCCCATTTATATCATATGGACCAGGACTATGAAATTCTTTTGTAAGTTACTTAATGTAACACGATGCAGTTCAGTGCCTAATGATGAACATTTCTACAATGCCTCTTTAAGAGACCACGTTGTGACTTTTTTCTCACATAAAATAGCTGAAGTCACTTGTGAAACTTAGTTATACTTTGCTGCATTTTAATTAACCTTTAACAGCTATTAAAGTGGAATGTAAGTTAAATCTTGAAGGAAAGGAAATAAATGTTTTCCATTTTTGTGTTGATTTACTTTCTGTATGAGAGCAGCTGTGTTTTTGATAGGTTTATGGTTTGCATGAATTAATATTTAAAGTGGTCGAGGCCAATGCATGGCAATTGCTGTAAATCTTGATGTTTGTTTCTGCCTTATAAAATTCTATCATGGCCTACCTGGAACTTAATATTCAGTAGACAAATTAATTGGTCCTCTTACAACTTTGTTTTTTGTAAGTAAACTATTTTACAAACAAATGTGAACAAATTTAATTGAAACTCTTGTTTAGCTGGCCTCTAAGAACTTTTCTTAATAAAGCTCACAAAATTTCTCAGCAAATAACTCTCCCTTAAGTAGGAAAAAACCTAGATTTCATACTTGCTTACTTTGAATTAGCAGCAACTTTCCATAAGTAAATCTGCTCTTGCAAAAACGTGAGCAGAATATTAAAATATATATATATATTTTTACATTTTGTGGTTTTAGAATAGAAGCCATTAATGCAGTTTACACTGTTGGTTGTTTGCTTAACTACTTCAAGCTTCATTTTCGCCTTTTCAGGTTTATTGGGTTTAAAAAAAGGCAGCCCTTAGAAGGCAGCTACTATGGAAAAGTGAAGTTTGCATTCAAGATAAAATAGTATTTTCAGCTCCGTGAAGAACCGTTCCTGCTGAAACTGCTGTAGAAATTGTGAAGCTGCATGAGTGGAGAGTTTTGAATCTGTGATTATAGTAGTTCTCTCAGGTTTGTTTATCTTGATGTTCAATGCACTGTGTTCTGTAAATAGTTATTAAAGTTGAGTAATATTCAGTTCTATGCAGTGTTCCTTGTCACTGGCCTTTTGTGAATGTGCATGTTTTAAATGGCAAATTTTAAACAGTCTGTCCTCTGTTACTAATATTGAAATAAACTGTACCATTACATAAAGAAAATTGTTGGAGTTTGAATTGCTAGTCTTGGAAATTCTAATCTTTATAAAACCTTCACATCCAGATAACTATAGTCTGAGAAGGTATATCCATTTAAGAGCATTTTAACAGATTTTGTTTACAATCCCAGTGATATACAAAATATCCCTTCATTTTAATCCAGCTAAATGAAACATGAAATGGAATATATTAACTCTATAGTTTGGTAAAAGGGGTAGTTTTGAAAATTAAGTATCAAAAAAATTGTAATAAAATTATTGTATTTTGATTCTTTGGTCAGAAAAGCCCCCCAGATTGTACCCTTGCACATTTAAATCAGCCTGCAAGTCAACAGCATGACTCCATCCTTTCACATAGGATGAATTTCTTAAGTTTTCTAAACCCACCAAACTTTTTTAAGTTCATGAGAAAGTGGCCAATTTAGCTAGTAACATTTGAAAAAAGTGTCCATAAATTATTAAAATTGCCATGTGAAACAAAAGCACAGGAAACACTGGAAGTGAGGACAATAGCTTTATCAGAAATAAGCATCATTGGTAAGAGGAAATCTGAAGCTGCAATTCGGTGAACTGCTACAGTAGGATTAGTGCACAGAGAAGCACTCGTGAGGCAGTGTGAGAAGCCTCTGTCTGGTTTTAGAGTGAGGCAGCGAATACTTAGCTGTCTGAGGGCCCCAGGTCCTTCTCAGTCTTCCCAGGGACAACAAAGGAAGGTGTGGTTCCCCCAAGCAAAATCACAGCAAAACAATGTACAGAAACGTTACTTGTGAATTATAGCAAATGATTTTCACATTCAAATGATTTTCACATTCAACTCCATTCCCCTTAAAATAAGCTAAAATAAGCACTGTGTTTATACTGACCGTGTACTTTAAGTTCTCTACTAATACTACCTAAATACTAAAGGAAACAGCAAACTTCAAATACATTCCAATAAATTCAATATGTCATCCCCATTTAAAGTTCATTTTTGCATGCTATGGCATCTCCAATCTAAAGCTTCCATTTCGGTAACACAAAGCCACTCATTTTAATGAAGAAAGATCTTCCTAAACCAGGATCATTTCACTAGGAGGCTAATAAAAATTGTTGCTGAGAAATAACAAATATGTTTACCATCCAATTTTTCTTTCAAGTACAGACTATGTAACTAGTAATTCAAATAAGAATTCTCTATTAATTTCATTAATAACAAATGTTTAACTGAAATTTCAAAATAGCCATCTACATATAAAAATATTTAATAGTTCTCTTAATAGTTTAATATGCCTATAAATTCTTGTTTTTCCCGAACATACTAAATAAATGTTTTAGGTTATGCAAAGGTACACCGATCTAACCCAATGCATCTAATTCCTAATCGTGATTGTAGATACTGTCAGGAAACATTTTGGTTATCTCATTTTAGAAAGAAAATCTCCTAGAGATTGAAGTCAATCTGGCAAATTCTCCACCATAGAAAGCAACTACTAATAACACCAGTAAGGATAAAGAGAACAATTTATCCATTTGGACTATTAAAAGCATAGTCCATTGGCTTTAGAATTAATGGTTATTTTAAAGCAAATTTATATCAGCTATATTCCAATTAAATAAATATTAAATATGTTTTTCTAAAGCAGATGATAAATTTACAGGCCATCAATACCTAACGGAGTGAGGGTGTGCTCTACCCCAGGCAATAGTGGAAACTTGGCCAGATATCAGAGGAAGAAGCTGTGTTTTCATGCACTAACTCCATCAAACTGCCAGGCCGTTTTCTCTGTTCCTTGCATTCCAATCAACAGGTATATCTGCCCTCCCACAATACTTAGCCTTTCGTTTTTATTCTAGGGTATTTCATCATTAATTTACTACACAGCTCCCTCCCTACTAGAATGTGATTTGAGACAGTGACTCTAACAGTCTATTTCTCAAGACAACCCTAAGCAATAAGGCACCATTGATAATTTCCATTTTACACATGAGAAAACTGAGACACAGTGAAGTTACGTGGCCCAAAGCTACTCAGCTTATTAGTGACAGAGCCAGAAAACTAACCCAGACACTGCAACTCTAAAAATCCATGAGTAATCACCTGTTCTTTCAACTTTCTTGTGTGTAAAGGGAGAAATGTTGTATTTCTATTCTTGCTTCATATTATCCTTATCTACAGGATATATACAATATTATACAATCCCTTTGCCCCAATAGATTTTATAAAAAGTAGGTTGGATATTTTTTCCTGAGAAAATAAGGCCTTCTAGGTATGTGTCATAAAGAATGTAGAGTTTTTTCAAAGCAGATCACCTGGGTTCAAATTTTGGCTCTGCTGTTACAACGTCTTGTCTTGGGCACCATGTTTAACCTTTCTACTTTGATTTCTTTATCTGCAAAACTGGTGTGATAATGGTCCCTACTTCAGGGTTTTGGAGATTAAATGCTACAATATAAAATACTTGGGACACACATGGTCTTTAATAAAAATATTACCTGTTATGTGCATAAGTAAGTTTCAAAATGTAGAACTTCTGTTCTTCAAAATAATTGTAGTTTAAAGATGTTAGGACTCAAAATTCTTTGTGAAAGTGTTGAAGCATTAATCACAAGTTTCTGCTGTATTTTGGTGTTATAGCAGGTTGTGGTGAGCATCTGCTTGGAAGTATCAAGGGATTTGATTTGACCCTTGCTGTCCAATCTTTCTAAAATGAGGATGTGATAAGGTCACTCTCCCTTAAAAAATCCTTCAAGGCTCCCCTTTGCATTCGGCATATATCCAACCACCATGTTGTTTAAGCTCTCTGATCTGATCTGATCCTGCTTATCATTCCAGTCTCACTCTTCCTCTCAATTCTTTGTCTAGTTTCCAGAATGTTCCCTGTTCTTTCACACTGATGGGTGCTTCCCTGCCTGTGTATGAGTTCTTTACTTGTCATAATACACTCTTGCCCTCAATCCAGCACTCCTCTCTCCCACCCTGCACCCATCTCTTCACTCAGACCCATTCATTTCTCAAAGCCCAGGCCCAATGTCACCCTCCTGGGTGAGTAAGGTGCCCTTTGTTCTTGCTGCCAGGGTACTCTGTGCCTACCCTAGCATTGCAGTTACCATAATGAATCTGAGTGTTGATTTATGGGTTCATCTCTCCCTATGTGACTGAGCTCCTGAAAAGCAGGAAGGATAACATGCTGCTTTTATGAAACACCTAAGACATCACAAGTATTTTCTGTCATGCCTGAGTCCCCAGAGATAGTGGCTCCTTGAACCACAACCACAGTTGTCCGTCTTGGTGCTCCCAGCCCCCCGCACAGTGCCTGACCGTGGGTGGTGTCCAGCAAATGCCTGCTGAATGGCCATATCTGGATACCTGCCACAGGATGGCCTAATTACCCTGGGGCTGTAAACCACAATAGTAGTAGCTACCTAGCTTCCAGAGAGAAGTTCTAAAACATGTCCTATAGGTCAATAAGTACATGGGGATATTATTTGGTTCAGTGTCACAGAATGTCACTTTACAGTGAAGTACACTATGTCTCCCTTATATTAAACAATTTATAGCCGATTGGCTTGATTGGAACATCCTGCTAAGGAAGGGAAGTTTACAGACGTGAGTTTTCTGAATTCCTTAGGGTTATGCTGCTTAATGGATATAAACTGCTCCCCAAAGGGATGGCAGCTACTAGAGAAACCTGACAAAAAAGATGGTTTCCAGTGGGGAGAGTTCTGCCCACTAGAGGATGTTGTGGAATTGTGAGGGGACATCTCTGGCATCTGCCCGAGGCAGACATGCTATGGGTGTTTGTTGCGTGGGACTTGGTTTTAACAGGTGTCCTGCGATGCGTGGGACAGACACCCCGATACCCGATAGACTTGATGTCAACTGGCCTGACTTTGGAATGCCCCACCATTCCTTTTGGCGCAAAAACCTAATCCCTTTTTAAGCTATAAAATATTTTTTGCACTGCCTTAATATACATTGACTTCCCCAGATGTACAACTACTGTGCATAAGTTCTAACTTTGTTTAGAAAAGGTACATTAGCAGCAGCAGGGCAGCTGTGGTGCATGAGTTGCCCGTCTAGCAAACCCACATTGGTGTGGATTTGGAGCTGCCACATCTTGCTGGTTCTGCGTAAGAGGTTGGCCTCTGAGTCCATTGTTAAGTCTGCTGAAGCTGTTGCATTTTGGAATAAATTACCCCCCATTTCTTTCTCCCTTCTGTTTACCACTAGGACATTGTACTGATTTTATTTTTTAATTATATGTGTATTGAATCATATTACCTGTGAATTCCATTTTTAGAAATTAAAGGGAGGGCACCAAATATTTGATTGTCAAACAAAGTTGACAATCACTGCCTGAGAGAGAGGAACTGGGCCTCATGCTTTACTGTCCAGTGGATTTAGGACACAGGGCCATCAAAGCTCCCAAACAGGGCGGTGCTCCCTGAGTTGGATCTGGTTTTACATCCGGCTCCCCTACTGATTAGCTATGGGACCTTGGGCAAGCCACTTTACTCCTCTGTGCCTCAGTTTCCAAATCTGTAAAATAGCAATTATACTGTTTCCCTGTTGCTGTTGTTTGAAGGATAAAGTGAGTCAGTGCATGTAAATATTTAGAATAGTTTTGGGCTCATAAGAGCCTATTAAAGATTACCTTTAAAATATCAAAAGAGTATGTAACAAACATGAGTAAAACCAGTCTAGTGATATAGGAGTGTGGTCCAGAGAATGCTCACAAATGTTTATCCTTTCATGTTCAGGCTTTTCCCAGTCCTCCCTCCCTCCCTTCCTTTCTTTCATCCCTTAAGCATTTGGGCTAGTTTGGGGTACCTGGAAGTCAGGCCACGTTCAGTTTCAGGACAAAGCAGGAGACTGGAAGTGAGAGTTCCCCTGCCATTAGACCAGGCAAACACACAGTATCTTCAAACTTGTTTTCTCAACTAGAAAACAGACAAGACCAAACTCTCTTGGGGCAGCATTCTACCTTTATGTAGCACATTAGAAAAGTGCTCTTGTGCATGACATGTAATAATGTGTATTTATATAGACCTGGGTTCCTGAACAACACCTGTGGGGGTCAGGTAGGTAACAAAACTAAGAGATGCGCCAGGAGGAACAGACCAGGTGGGAGGCTGGCGAATGGCAGGTATCTGGAAAGAGCCAGCCTGACTCCAGGTAGTACAGGACCCTCAGTACCACATCTTCCTAGTGTCACAAGAAGCCAAAAATTCAGATTCTTACGAGAAATGTCCCAATTTTTAAATCTATACAAACCAAATAACACATTCCTGAGGGCTGCATGTAGCCACAGGCTGACACCACTATACAAATTCACTTCCCTTTGCTGCTTTCATGAGCCCCAATGTAGAAATTAACTTTTTAATGCAATTCAATACCAGTGCAGAATCTGCCTTTTATCATTTTAAAACATGAAGTGTGAAGTAAAGACATTTCCTTTTATTCAATAACAAATATTGCTAAGGAGATAAAGCAAAGCACTTTGATCCAAATCTTCAAATAGATTCCACAAAAACAATGTATTTTATGTATTCTAACCCAACAGGATATATGCCCAAATATGTAGTCATCAGACATGGAATTCAATGGCACTTAAGACATGTAATATTAAATGATTATAAACAATAGCTGGACTTTGAACTCCACAGTTATTATTAACATAAAAAATTACAGTGTGACTACTAATAATTAGTACCATTGCTGTGGTAAATACATTAAATTACAAATCTTTACATTTATACATAACTCATTTTACAAATAAATGTTTTAAGAACCACTGTCCAACCTTCATTTACATACTAAATGTTGCTGAACAAAAAGCCTGGAATAAATATTCCCTCAGGTGGGGGGGAATTCTTTTATATAGGATTTGTGTTACAATGAATATCTGAGTAAATATTTAAAACTTTAAACTCCTCATGTCGTTACTGAAATCTTGTACCCTAAAAAAGCTCTTATATGTTAAACAAAATTTAGTTATTAATTTTAAAACAACTGTTCTCATGATGCCAATATTATCCATGATTAGATTGCCCCCCAAAATCATAAATAGGTTGTTCACTGTCCCCTCAGTTTACTTAGTAGTTAATTGTTTTAAGTGAACCTTCATTAATTGCAATCAGGTATTTTTCTTGCTTATTTGTGTTTATATTTGTACTATAACTCACTACAACTTACAATGAAAAAGAGAATGTGTAGACCTTTTCTACAAATAGAGCCCAGCTGTCCAATAAAACATCTTCAGCCAATTTGCAACTTTAAAGTCAAGCTGCTGCATATTTTGAATAGAAGTAGCATAAATTGAAATGCAGTGGTCACCATGTTTTCAAAGCCAGTAACCGATTATCTAACAGCCATTCTGTGTTTGGAGCCGGGAACCTTCAGATGAGAAGGCGTGGCATTTCCCCTGCACTTTCCTCCGTGACGTTGCCGGGTTCCAGGGAAATTTCCTCAGAAATACTTGTAGCACTGGCAGCAGAGCTCCACCTGTCTGCCCTTGTACTACACGCTGGATTTCAGGCCGAGGCCTGTCAACTGGAACTGAAGTCTGGACAGCTCTTCCCAGGCAGCGGCGGCTCCTGCTGGAGTGGGTAAGTGAAGTACTGGGGGGACACCAGGAAACCGGATGGCTGGGTCAGGTGGATTGGGTGGCCTGTGGTGTAAGGCGGGGGTGGTGAGGGCACCAGGCAGCCTGGCTCCGCCCTGGCGAAGGAGAACCTGCGGATGGAGCCCCCTGCAGAGCTGGAGCTGGTGGCCGTGCTGGACTGCCTGGAAGGTGCCCTGAGGCTCGTGGAGGTCAAGATCATGGGCAGGGTCTCTGTCTGATAGCTGCGGAGCGAGAAGCGGATTGGCTGCTGGGAGGGCTCCTTGGGTCTCAAACAGGTGCAGCAGTAAATCGCCACTAAGGAGCCCAGGATAATGAAAGCGATGAAGATGGAGCCCACAATCAGGAAGGGAACATAGACAGGCTCTAAAAGGCAAAAACAGAATGCGTAGAAGTTCGGATAAATGTATCCCAAGCTCAGGGGTGGGTAGAGGGCAGCTCAGTATTACCATTGGTGTGGGCCCAGGTTCTCAGAGCTTACTTACTTTGCTCAGCTCTAAAGTGCAAACCGTGAGGCTGGAATATTGTTGCTCCTAGCCGGGAGGAAGCAAACTGATACTATAGCCTCTGTTAGCAATTAGCCATCATACTGTACATCTGGAAGTCAGAAAGAACAGAATCTATCCTGTTCACGCACTGGAGGGAGGGGAAGGGTGGGTCTGGGGATACTATAACTGTGGGTTTAAATCCAGGTTTTGGTAGTTTTATCACGGTAGGGCACTTGAGGCTTTGACCTCCAAGGCTGAAAATTCATCCCAGAGACCAAGAATCTTCAATCTAAGCAAAGAGAACGAGGCCTGTTAAATGAGACTCCCACTTACAAGACTTCAGAAAGAACAGTGTAAAGAAACCCACGGGGGCCCCAACTACCCAGGTCTTCTACTGCATCACAAATTGTCATCTCTGGATGCTTCTTTGCACAAACACTCCTGGCTGGCTGCCTGTTCCAGATGCCCCACCTCTGCCTCTAAATTCCCCCCCCCCCACCCAAACTCAGGGAAGCTCCGGCTCAGCCTTAGATATATTATGATGTATCTCTTGGCGTCTGTGGCACAGACTCTTTGTGAAAGCATCCCTGAGGCAGAGCAAACCCAAGTTTCCTTCTCTCTACAAGGAAGACAGAAAACTTCCCACCCCAGAGGCACTCCCTCGGGCAGGGCTCCAGGTGTGTGATAGCTCTGGATGCAAACGCCAGCTGAGAAGCAGAAGGAAGAAAACCTGCCTTGACATAGGCCCTCCTGTGTATGTGGCTCTTTCTTATTTACTATCTGATTCAAGTCTCCTGGAGAACCTGTGACGTGGGCATGATAAGCTCTACTTTCCAGATGTATTAGATAGTTTTTTTACTTTCCCAAAAACACACAGTCAGTGAACGACAGGTAACTATCAACCCCCAAGATTTGTGGGCCTTTCGAGCCACCCATTCTGCCATGTTGAGCAGCACAGTGTGGAAGGTCCGGCAGAAGGGACTAACACTTACCCAGCACAAATCACTAACCACTTAACCCTGCGCCGTGCTTACACATGCACATTTAATCCACCACCTAAATCCTGAGGACAATATGCCCATTCTGGAGTTGAGAAGACGCCTAGAACAATTAAGGAACTTGCCCAAGGTGACACAGATGGCAAGTGACAGAGGCACAAGTGGGTCCAGGAGAGTTTGACTCAGTGAGGGTGGAGGCAGCCCCCTCTCCTGCTGTCCTCTGGCCACTGAGCAGAGCAAGGAAGCCAGAGAGGAGCCTCCTCCGCCAGAGTCAGGCCGACGGGGCACTTAACTTACGCTGCACAGAACACGGGGTCCCCCAAGGCGAGCAGAGCAAAGATACTGAGATGAGTCTGCACTTTTCTAACAGGCCAGGACGGCCTAGAGTTCCTACTTTCCACAGAGCATCTTTTCTCCAGATTGGGAATTTTGACCCCCAAAGTTAAATTCCTTGAGTGTCTAATGGAGTTTGAAGAAAGAGCAGGGCAGGCTCCCCTTTCCTCTGGGATTTCAAGCTCTTGGCCGGCTGGGGGTTGGGGGAGGCCTCAGCACCATCAATTCTCTCTCAGCATTTCCTTGCCTTCCCCCCAGACCTTCTCTGGCCCGCCTCTGACCTCCGCTCTGGAGTTCTGGGCTGTCACCCGCGCTGAGCTCTGCCCACTCTCGGTTTCCCTGCCATAAAACCATCGCCTGGAGCTCTGAAGTTTCCCTCCTGTTCCTATTCAGGTGGAAAGCTTTTTCTCTTTTATTTATTTATTTATTTATTTATTTATTTATTTATTTATTTATTTATTTATTTATTTATTTAAGGTTTAAAGTTCCTCTGCTGGGGTTGTGATTTATTCCACTCTGGAGCGGAAATTTGACCCACGTTTTCCGACGTGAAAATAAGGGGCAGGGATGCCCCGGCGACACTGGTTTCTTAATCTCCACCTCGACGACCTGGGCATTTCTGAAAGGCGTGTGACAATAGGGGGTGGGCCACAGAGGGTAATTTGATGCAGAGAAATGAAAGGAAGTCGGGAGAATGGCGCAGCAGCTTAGAAAAGCTACCAAAGGACCTCTAAAAGCGGAGGGGAGGGGGCGGCGAGGTAGGAGCGGCTGAAGCTCCGTAGCCCCGTGGGGCTACAGATCAGCGCTCCGCAAGAGTTGCGTTCCGGCGCCTTCTGCACTTCCGGAGGTCGGGGAGTGCCCAGGGCGCGCAATGGGGCGCCCTCAAAGCCCCTGAAAGGCGAAGTCCAGCCTGGCACTCCCCGCACGGCCCTTCTCCACGCCTCGCGAGCGCCCGGAAGCTCCAGCTGTCTTCCCCAGGGTCACCCGATGGTCCTCGTGTCCCTTGCAAACTTTCCCTTGGGGCGGCCCGCGGAGACCGCGTGTGGCGGGAATCGGGACTGCAAAGAACAGGGCCTCTGACGTGAAACACGACCACCCACTCCTCCCTTGATCCCCCACACGCTGCGTCCACTCTGCGTAGATCCAGGCAGGCCTGGCGCTCCCACCGCGCGCACGCCGGCCGGCACGCTGGGCAGCGGCCCGCCGCGGGACGGGAGTCGAGCGCCGAGGGCCCGCACTTACGCGCAGTTATGCCCGGGTGCTCCAGCTCGCCGCGGTCGTTGGTGCAGCCGCCCTGCTCCAGCCTGGCATCGGCCGCGGCGCAGCAGTAGCGCAGCGCGCAGGAGCCGCAGCAGATGGTGGCGTCCAGCGTGTCGAAGTCCTCCGGGCACTGGAAGCCCTCGTGGTAGTTGCCCTGCACGTCCACCCAGCCGTGGCAGTATTCTCCGGGCTGCTGGGCGGCCGCCGGGCCCCAGCACAGCCAGCCCAGGAGAAGGCAGAGCGCCCGCAGCGCCCCCATCGCCTCTGCGCGCCCTGGGCTGCCTAGAGGGGGATGCAGCTGGAGAGCAAAGGGCTGAGCCGGGGCTCCGGGCGCACCGCGGTTCCGCCTCCCCGGGGCGCGGCGCGGGCGGCCGGCCCCTGCGGCCGAGGGCACTGCCGCGTAGGTTAGCAGGGGCCGCGGTGGCGGTCGGCGCTGCGCTGCGGGCTGTGCAGACCGGGGGTCGGCATGGTGCGCGGGGGCGAGTTGACGAGGGCCCGCAGGAGGTGTCGGCAGAGGCTGCTGGGGCTGCTGCTACCGCCCTTCGCCCAACTCATGCTGCCTCTGGCGCGAGGGGGGCGCCGTACTCTGTGCCACCTTCCTCCCCACTCCTCAAGGGAGCCATCGCGTCCGGGCCGCGCAGCGCCCCGACTCGTGGCTGTCGCCGGGTCCCGAGCGGAGCCCGAAGGAAGAATTTGAGATCCCCACGTGCAGGTCCCGAGACAAGCGGCCTCTCAACCCCCGCCCCTGTCTGTCAGGGGAGCAGGAGTCAGCCTTGCCGCGGCCAAGTACAAACGGCCTCCGGCTCCTGACAGCTCTGCCTGCAAAGAGTCCTTTAAAAAGGAAGAGGGAGGGGGAGACAGCGAGGGTTAAGAAAGAGTCCGCCCTCCCGGGTCGCGTCGCTGGAGCTAATCACGGCGGGCTCGGAGCGGGCCCCAGGTCGTTTGAGCTTTCTGGTTCGCGCGCCGTCCTCCGCCTTGCCCGGGCCACCCCCGCCCACTGCGCTCCCCCAGGACTCGCCTCTCCACCTAAGGGATCGGACCCTCCACACACACCCCAGCCCTTGCACAGCCCAGAAAACTGGAGAGTGAGGGAGAAGGCTGCCTGCCGGTTTTCTGCGTGTAGCCACGCGCTTTGGCGCTCGGTGGAGACGCGGGTTTTGCTTTCTCTGGATGTTATTTAAAAAGCCAGCGCGGAGACTGTCGAATCTTCTGTCGCTTGTAGCGCAGATCCGGATTTGTTCCTACGACACCTGTTCTAAGGGTGCAGGATGGACTACATGATTTTTACGGGCAGCCAAAATTTGCACTGAGTTTTTTTTCCCACCTTAAGTTTCCACTTTTAGGAGGGACGGCACATGTCCATGCATGAACATTCGCACTGCTCCCCCGCCCCCTAACCTGCGCGCCGGAGGGGGAAGAATCGCCGGTCCCATCCACCAGCCGAGGGCAGCTCGCAAACCCTCAGAGAGCACGACTTCTCCGTTCACGCCCACAAAGGAAATAAAAGAACACAATTAATGATAATTGAGCAGATCTGAACTTCTGTTCGGGCAAAGAAACACGTTTATTTAAATGATGCGTCCCCTGTGTGCTATTTTCAGGGGGCACTGCTCCTTTAGCGGCGTAAGTGCCTTGTGAAACTAGTGTTATGTGAAACCTGGCTGCGCTCAAGACTATTTTTACTGCATCCTGAACTTCCTCTCATCGTTCATTGGTATGTGTGAATATGTTCCGCGCATCTCAATCTATTTGTCAAACATGCTGAATGCCCGTGTCACTGATTTAGATGTTGGCAGGTTGGATGAAATAGAAGATAAGCTGTGCTGTGCATCAGCAATTAAAGCGTGCGGTCAAAAGCGTTTATTTACCATGCCCGCAGTTCTCCGATGGTCCTAGGGGGTTCGTTCAGAGAACCTTTTTTTAAATCTTATGAATAACTTAATAATATTGTTTCTTTCTCACAATTTAAGTTAAAGTACACTCCAAGTAAAGAATTATTTCTGACTTTTAATATTGCGATTAGCGTTTAGTTATGAGAATGTAAAAATAATGCCCCAAAACAATGCCCAGATGTTAAGTATGAGCAAACAAACAATAGGACAGTGTTGCTTGACTGAATTATACATGTGGAAAATTGTTTTGCAGCAATTTCTCAGGTACTGTATTTTTATTTACAAAAAAAAAGATATTCTTAACAGATTTACAGGTTTTTGTTTTAAGTTGTTTTTTAGGAGGGCTGTTTGGACTGTATATAATATTCTTAGCAATGAAGAGGAAAAGTCACTTAGAACCACAGCAACAGTGAGAAATAGTTACCTTAATAAGATGATAAAACTACAAAGACATGTTTATTGTTAATAACTTTTCCAGAACCACACCTCTTTATATTATTTTTGTTAAATGTAGAGGAATTCCATTACATCACAACTGCACCAGGTTCTGCAGCAGAAAGCAGCTCGCTAGTTCCCCAAGGGTCGAGTTTCTCTCATTATCCAGCTGTTCTTTGATAGCATTAATATTTAAAGGAGTGATTTGTTGCCACTTACCTCCCATTAATTACCTTCTCCATGCCACAGTGGGATTCTTTTCCTTAGGACACCAGCTATAATTAATTCCTTCATTCAAAGCCCCTGTCTATTTGACTTATTTAGGGGGCATTTTACTCACATTTAGTTGCATATTGACTAATGGAAAGTAACCAGACCTCCAAATAACTTGATACTCCATAGATTTGATGTGTATGAACATTAAAGCAACTATGTGATACACTTTCATATCTCCGTCCTGATCCAAGTGCCTTTAGAGCATTACAGCAATCAGCTTCGGGGTGTGCTCAGGGGAAAAAAGTAATGTATTTGGTTCGTTGTCACAGAAGAGCTCAAGTTTTACATCAACAAATTTTAACCTCAAAAGTGATGTTCTCAAAATGCCCTTTGTGATCAGTAGAAGAATATACATTTCTTTTTAGGGTTATGAACATCCAAAGTTTCTGTTTTTCTGTTACCACTTTAATAGGAAAGGAAGATGAAGAAGTTCTCGTCGACCACCCTCAAAGACTGTAGGGTGAGGACATGGAGATGGAAAATAAAATCTACACCACCTGGGATATTACATAGAGGTTTTAGAAATTCTATATTTTTTCTTATCTCAGTAACAGAAATTCCATATTTTGGTGAAGAACACAATTGTGAGGGGTGATTTCCTCAGCCTACATTCTCCTGTGGCCCTGCTGCCAGGAAACTCAAGGAAATGAGTTAAATGATATGATGTCTGGGATTTGCTTTACTAAACGCCAGCAAAAGAGAAAAGGGGTGGAGTGGGGGCGGTGAGGGAGGAAGGAAGAAAGGAAGGGAAGAAGGAGAGAAAAAGAAAAGGTACAGGAGAAATGCAGATATGGAGATGGGACAGATGAAACTGAGACACAATCGGCAAATGTTGCTAATTGTAGCTGGCAGAAGGGTACTTGTCAAATGGAAATGCAAGTCTATTTTTCCTGTAATAATACAAATTATATGCTAAAATTTTTTAATCAACAGGAATCAATCGTGGTATGAAACTAGCACTGGACCATATATTTAAACCTTGCCTGTTCACTGCTCTTGGTTTTTCATTTTTTGAAATGAAAAAATGGTTTTACATTTTTTGAGTGAAAGATTTGAGAAAAACAAAAACAGAGAAGAAAAACAAAGCCAAGGATGCATCAGAAAGGGCTGGAAAATAAAATGTACTAAGGAAAGGGGGAGAAAAGGCCAAAAGAATACCGAAGTGAAGAAATAAATAAAAAGACAATTAACTTCGGCTGTGGAAATCCCCTCCAGTTCATCTGCATTGGACCCAGAAATAAAATAGAAAACAAGTTTCTCAACCCTCCCTCGAGTTTCTTTCTGGAGTGAGTTCTTATCACTAACCTTCCTTTAATGATTTTGCCCGTGACTAAATGCAATTCTCTTCCTTGCAACACTCACTATAAATCTTATTCCAGGACCCTGTCGATCTGAGTTACTGGAAAGGTCATTTTCTTCCCCTCAGTTTGCACATAGTCACTGCCAGAGAATAGCAAGGTGCCCAGAAGCAGACTCCCAGATCCTAGCTGTCCAGCCCCAGACTGGCCCCTCCTCCTGCCCTGTGCTTTAGCTGGCCTCAGACTCTTCATTTATAAAGAGCAGGCTAGACATAGGGCCCTTAGAGCAGAGTGTGCCTCAAACCCTCCTGTTTATAAGAATCACCTGGGGACCTTGTTAAAATGCAGATTTTGATTCCCAGGATCCGCAGAGGGGCCTGAGATTCTGCATTTCAAACACGCTCCAGGTGATGCCAAGGCTACTGGTCTGAGGATTATCCTCTGTGCTCCTCTGGGCCTCTGCTCCTGTCACCACCCACAGGGGCAGGAATGACCAGAGCCAAGGGGACGTGCCCTTCAAAGCCCATTTCCTCACTTTCTCGACCACTCTCTGGGCCACAGGATTCCAGCACTCCCTGCTAAAACACACCCAAGCTTGCTTCTAGGATTCATGGAAGCCTCTTCCTGGTCATAAGTGGTTCAAGAGGAGAGGTGTTTAAAAACTTTGTCAACACAAACTAAAGTGCCCAAAGACATACAGGACAGGCTCTCTGCAGTGCCTGGTGGAGACAGTGATGGAAGAAGGAGGTGGCAGGGCAAACTCAGGCTGGTGGCCTCCACGTCTGTCCTTGCCCTGGCTCACACACGATAGAGTGGGCCTGTTGCCTCGGACAGCACAGGGACTCAGTAAACAGTCACAGAGAGAAGAAGTGAATGATTGAATAAATGAATGACTGTTTTTCCTGACTAATTCTCTAGCTTTTACCATACCTCACTGTAATTTTGTAATAGGGCATCTGTCTGTCTCTCTGCACGTGACCTACTTTTTCACTGTTGCATCCTGGAACCTAGCAAAGCCCCTGGGACACAGTGAGTGCTCAGTAAATGTTGAGTAAATAACTGACTGTAAACATATGACCGGTTGAGAATTTGTGAGGACCGAGTGACATCCGTCTCTACTATAGAGACCACAGCAAGTATCTGGGAATGTGCCAGTGGAGAGCAGAGTAAATTTCCAGGGTGGGAGTTAGGGGGTGGGTATTGTAGAGTCAACGACTGGCGGTTTAACTGTAAATGTAGCTCTTCAAGAACTGTCCAGTGAGTCAGCACTGCAAGAACAAAGCAGTCGGCAGCCAATCCCCCCTGGAGACAGTGGCGACACTTGTCCAGGAGAGCAGAGCTATGATGCAGAGAAAATCAGCCAGCACGGAGAAAGAATGTTCACACTTTGAGTCAGACAAATCTGGGTTTGAGTGTGCCTCTGTAGGACTACGTGACTTTGAGCAAGGGCTTTTCAGCTTACTGAAGCTCAGCTTCCATGTCTCTAAAATGAGGTGGGGGTGGGAAGGAACAAGGGAACAACCCCTGGCTCAAAGGATTGTTGTAAAGGTATAAAATAAAACAAGGCAAGTCTGGCTCAAAGTACGGACTTCAGAACCAGCAGGTATTACCCATTTGACTATAGATTAAAGCCAGCTAGTCATGGCAAGTTTCCTGCTAACCAGAATCGGCCTATGCTCTGATTAATTTGAGTGGATTGTTTACAGTTCTTCATCATTCATTCCCATATTCATTCAATGTGTCCATTCATAACCACTGACAATTGAATACTGATCATTCATTTTTAGATTGTTCTCCTGAGACATGACCCAAAACCAGGAGTAGAGGGGCATAGGGTGGATATCAAAAGATCATAGTGTATAGGGACAGACATTGCTGGACAGACCTTACTTCAGCTGGAATTTTACAAGGTGTAGCCCCAA